CTTCTTCTCAACCAGAGTTTCCAGGGATGGGCCCTGCCCCCCAACAACCACAGCCTCTGCAGATCCAGAGATCCACTTGTTATCTTATGTTTAAATAAGCGCTTTGAATTATTCCACTGTCTGTCTCACGTAAATACTATGTCCTTCTGCCCCATTCATGACAAAAATACTTTTACCTGATAAAGTGACCATACACAAAACCATTCAAAAAACAGCTGACTTTTTTCATTTGTTATATTTTCCATAGATAAAAGCGTAGCCTTTCTTCCAGTGGCATGGGAAACAATATCTTTGGGTCTTTGTGTTGAAATAGCAATCAGTGGTTTAATAGTTACTGTAGCAGGGATTGTTTCGACTGAGCCTGAGACATGGACATCCAGTGAATGTGGCATTTACTGCTTTTTTGTTCACAGATGCTTTCCTGTTAGTGTGACAGCCAGTGGCAAAATTATAGTGACTGTTTTCTTTTGTATATTTGCTGCAATCTCCTGTGAAACAATCCTCTTAAAAGGACAATTTTTCAATAAACTCTCCTTTTACCTTGGGAGCTGTAGATCCTCGCTCCTCATCGGCATGCTGCCTTAGAAGGCTTGGTTGCTCCACCTATAAACCGCCTAGCAGTGGATTTGCTGTTAAATGACAGGCCGTTTGGGGTGTGCCCTCTGTACGCACATCTGTCTATTGGCACGTGAGGAACAAAGGGACAGAGTCATGATTATGGCGCCTATGACTGGCCTGATTGCTCATTTCATTCGCCTGTCTTGCTCCGCCCAGTTTCTCATTACTGTTCGTCTTATCCACCTGCTCCTGCCTCTATTTAAGCTGCCTGCTCCTGAACATCAAGACCAGATTATGCAAGCCTTCAGTGAGAGTTCCCTAGCTTACCTTGTTTGTTGTTCTGATTGCCTGATCCCAGCCATGTCTTCCCTTTGTACCTCTGAGCCAGCTTGTTTCTGCTCTGATCTTTTTGCCTGACCTGTCTTTGGTCTTTGTTTCCTGACTAGGACTTGGATTTCCCTTCAGTACCTTGTTGGATCTCTGAATTTCTGGCCTGGACTGCAGTTTTCCTCTTCGACAGATGGCTTTGGCTTTGCCTTCTGGAAACTCCTGTCTTCCTTTGTCTGCTTGGATCTGTTCGTCCGCCAGTTCAGCAGCCTTCTTGGCTTAGGCTCCTGGAACTTCTTAGGCGGTGTTCATCTCGTGCTGTTGGAAGCCATCTGGCTGGATTCCACTCCTTCTAGCCACAGACTGAACTCACACTCCCACGATCATCCTCTGTCAGATTATTGTGGTCACTAACCCGAGCTTTCCCTCTACACATTCTGGCCTTTGACACTCNTTCTTAGGCGGTGTTCATCTCGTGCTGTTGGAAGCCATCTGGCTGGATTCCACTCCTTCTAGCCACAGACTGAACTCACACTCCCACGATCATCCTCTGTCAGATTATTGTGGTCACTAACCCGAGCTTTCCCTCTACACATTCTGGCCTTTGACACTCTTGCTACTGAATCACAGATCTGATGTAAAATACATAAACGCCTTTGTATATCACATCTGTCTGTCTGCCTGAAATTCTGGGTTCACAGTTCTGAGCTCTGACCGCAGAGGGGAGACTTTCCAAGATAAAAGATGAAAGGACGTGCATGAAGTGCAACTGTCGTTCAAACATTTACTCGTCATGTGTAGAATGGTGCTCTGGCATCAATTCTGCAAATAAAATTTTTTGTTGCATTTGGCGAGTGGCAAGTATTAATTGGGAACGTTGGAGTCCGCTGGATTCTAACTGACAACGTCCTCAATGCTGACTTTTTCACTGAATTTTCCCTTTTCATTTACTCTTGCTTAGGAGTGAAGCAGCATGTTAGGCTTGAATAAAACCGTTTTGGTTGGACTCTTTTTTTCCAACATGAGCTAGGCAGTAGAAAGATGACCCACAGTGCCCAGTCTTTTGTAACCTCTGTTCTGGGATGTCCTAGAGTTTGCTTCATTCGCTCTGCTTTTGGTGTTAGCATTGTCATACATGGTACGCCACTGATTCCGTTTTGGCCTCATCTGAGCAGAAAACATTTCTCCACGTTTTTGTGTTTCTTCTGTGTTCCTTGTGACAAAATTTTACACAAAACTTTAATGTCTTATTTTAATGTCCATATATGTTTACTTTTTAATAAAGACCAGATTGGTCTTCAAAAAATGCTGGCAGTAAAACTGGAGTTGGAACCCAATTTTTTTAATAATAGGCCTGTATCCCAAAATTAATGATTTTTCCTTGTTTCAAAAAAGTTTTTATAAACTTGGCGATATTACATGGAAAGAGACTGAAACCAAGAGTGCTATAAGTATGCTATATGCCTATATGTTGACCACTGGAGAAAAGTACATATCCTCTAACAGGTAAACCACACAAAAAATAATTAACGCATCTTATCTATTTACCTAAATATATTTAATTAACCCAATTTTCCTACCTCCTAAAATGAAACATCTTATTTCTTTTCAGTGATCTTTTGAATAGATATGGGGACATTTCTTTAATTATATCAAAAACAAGAACCTGTGGCAATTANTTAATTATATCAAAAACAAGAACCTGTGGCAATTAACGCAGTCATCTAGAGTGTTGTGCAAAATAATATCCTGCAGATAATGAAAAGATGATTAACTAGAACTGGAGTTATAGCTAATTATTTAACCTATTCAAAATCGAAGGTAAAATCAATTTAGTGTTCTTATTTGGATAATTGTAGCTTTAAATTATCTACTTACCAGGGTTGCGGATTCACCTCTGGAGTGTTCCGCTGTTAAAATCCAGGTCTCCACCAATCTAGTGACCCAGGTTAAGTGGCCAGCAGAGCTATTAATTATCAATAAAGAACCCTTTATCTCTCTTTATTTGCACTATTACCAAAAAGGGGTGAATCTGACCTGAGTGATAAACCCTCCGCTATATGAAAAACAAGAACTACAAGTTAACCAATGATGTCTTTATTCTAATAATTCAGGATTACAGAAAATCTAACATCTATGCAAACACTACACGCTACAAAAAAATAAACACAAGGTAGATTAAATGACTAGTTTAAAGAAATAAAAAAAAAGAATAAAACAAAATAGAAAACAAAAGAATAAAACCATAAGAGTCCGTTTACTGGCTTCTGAGATTGTCCAAAATATGCCAGATATTAATACATTCACTAATGTCCGTTAGCAGCAGGTATGATGATAACAGTGCAATTAATCACATAAAATAAAAAATAAAAGTCAGCTCCGGAGTCTTCTGTCCCCCCAGTTGGAGCAGCCGCTATGCACGATGGAACACTGCGATCCGTGACTTTTGACGCAGGAAAAAACGAAAGCTACTTCCAGTTAGCTTCCTACTGGTATTTCAAGTGAAACAGGCCTCCCCTTTAGGGCAGTGAAAAGCCCACGGAAAGAGAAAGATTGAATCCGCGTTCTGGGTTTTAAACCATGAGTGACGTGGGGGCACTTCCTGTTGAAGTATCAGCTGATTGGTCTGTGTTTGAGGTGACCGCCTCCCACAGTGGGCCGGTACAGTGTTTTTCAGGAAATCCTTTGTTGTTCTTTGTGGAAAAGAAAAAAGGGGATGGTTTCAGATGGCTCATCCAACTGCTTTAGCTCCATTTTGGCAATATATCCCAACAGGAGCAACAAACATTGGCCAACCCAGGGCAACAAAACAGACGTTTTTAACAGCTTAGAAATATTGATTTCCCGGAGAAGCACAATCTGCTGTCCTTTCTTGGAGACTGCTTCACAGCTGTGCCTGCAGTCCAGTTGTTGTCCAAATGAACACCAAGGTATTTCTATGTCTCCACCACATCCACTTCTTCTTCCTTGATGTTAAAATGATTCAGTTTGTTCCTGTTTCTTCTGAAATCTACAATCATCTCCTTGTTTTGTTGACATCCAGGATC